GTCGGTCACCACCTCTCAATTCCATTACAATTGATACTTAAATTCATTTATCTTTCCCCTATGTTTATGATTTGATTTTAAATATGAATACAAATATGTTTATTATTTATCATTTTTTATTACTCTGTGCCTTCAGACCCAGACAATAACTAATATATATATATATATATATATAACACAATTCCAAATAATTGGTTACCATGTAAATTTTGAAGAAAAATTTAGGGGTAAAAGGGTAAAATAGATGTCAATTTAATTTAAGATAATATAAAGGGTGTCGCGGAAGATAAGTCAATCTACTACAGGTGTGGGTGAATTTTTCTTTTATCAAGATTCCTCAAATATATTTTTTTGTTCAATTCTCTTCTTGTCAAATCATCCATCGTTAATTAGTAAGAAGATTATTTATATATAATAGGTCTCAAACTTTAATACATGATTCGTCAAAAAATTAAAAAAATATATTAATCTTTCGAATCTCAATCTTAAGAAATGAAACTTCTCGGAAAAGAATAGTATTTGTGGATACTAACAATCATTGTTGAAGCTATTTGACTGAATGACCCGCCCCTCAAGATTGACATCTTCAGTTGACTATGACCGGCAGCACCACCGATGTGCTCCAATAGTTTGAAAGGATTTCTTCCTCCTCAAGATTGTCATACTTAATTTTCTCACTAATCATAGAGGTTGCTTCGCTCTCAAAATGGCAATTGTCAGACAAATCTCTTGTCAACTCTATATTATACCATTAACATTCTTTAGATTAGTTGTAGTTTACTCTACTAACTTGAGCATCAAGAATATCATATTGGTATCAAATCAAAGTCCTTTTCATAAATCTAAGAACAAATAAAAATATGAACGAACTATAAATTTAAATATTTTGAGTTTAAATATTAGTAATTTTATTAATATCTTAATTCTGATATGGATGATGACATACCTTTCATTGGATTAGAGAAAAAATTAGCCTACGTATGCGTGAGTTGATCCGAACAAACCAAACCTCATCGTTGAAGTTAAAAAAAAATATCTCCTCTTGATCAATTTTATTTTGTTTTGTTTTTTATATTTTCACCTTTGGAGGACCTGTTTATAGATTTGTTCACTAACACAAGCAACGTAAATTGGGCAATACAAGCAACCTGACAAGAAGAAAGCTCTCTCCACCAGTTCCAGCCGAGAAAAAACATTGATTAGTCACAACCTTGATTTTTCATAAAAAAAACCTGTCTATTAAGAGATCTAGAGATTAACTTTTGCAAAAACAAAACTTCAATTGTTGAAATTCTGTTCAATCCTTTGATTGATTCAAGCACTTATTTGAGTAAAATTATTTGATAAATCATAATCGTCATGAGTTAAAGAATGAGAATTGAACTCTATGAAATATAATCTTTTTTTTTTTGGTTACATTAGATAGATATCTAGATAGGTCACTTCACTTATTTGCAAAGGAGCATTGTCCTTCGGTACTACACAACTATCTATAGGGTACCTTACCGCACCTACGTTGAGGCCGAAATTAAGGTCTCACTACTTATTTTGAATGTTGAAGAGTAGGTTTAACCCTAACGAATTACCATAACTATGAAAACTTGAACTCAAGCATTGATCGAAAAAATTCGAATTCTTACCTACGAGACGACCAATCTAATCTCCTATTCTCCTTTATTAGTGTGGAACTCAGTAGAGTGGTCGTGACTTTAAGAGTTATATTGTGCACTTTTTAATTTCTTTTTAATCTTTTTGTAGATTTTTTATTATAATTACATTTTTCAAAAATTGTAATAATTAATTTTTAATTACAATAACAACAACATACATAAAAAATAGGACTTACCTCACTTTGCACCCCAAAAGATACTTTGATTTTCAATTTGCATCTTTAAACATTAAAAATTTTAAATTGCACTTTCAATGTTATGAATTAGTAATAATGTGTATCTCGTTTAGACTGTTGTTTAATTTTCTGTCATAAATTAAACACATGAGTTTGCAAGTGCTTTGGACATGAGTGTGTGTGTGTGTGTCTATCGATGCAGATCTTCATCTGCGATCAATTTGACATTATTTTATGTATCAAAAATAAGATTTCTTTAATCAAATAGAGTCTAAATTTATCATTTGCAACTCACATGAAACGTCAACAGTCTGTGAATTTATATATAAGTCTATAACCGAGGCACTTGTAACTCACATACTTAAGGTTCACATTGCTACTAATTCATCATATTGAGGGTACAAATTAAAATTTTTAATATTTATGGGTTCAAATTGAAAATTAAAACATCTTTAAACTTGCAAAGTGACATTAACCCTAAAAAATATCAAAAGTTTATTTAATCTCAATCCGGCGGTCAACAAAGCAGAATTCACTATCCTCGTAACCATTCTTGATTCTCCACGATAAGAACGAGATCGGTATTTCCGTAATTTCATGAAAATGTTGGGCCATTTGAACACACCAACACATAAAAATAGACAAAAGCCGGCTGGAAAAGGACCGGTCCAATCCAATCCTATGACTTTGGTTCTTCTATCACCGTTCACAGGTCACAGCCTCTCTCTGCTGCATTTAACCTGATAATTACATATATTGTTTTACAAAATTTAACATTAATTAATTATAATACCATTGATGTCACTCATAATCTTCTCCATTAAATATGGCATATTCTATAGGTTTGATATGACTAAAATTTAAAAAATATTAAATAAATTAAAAAAAATTAACTTAAAAATTTGATTTAATGAATCATTATTATTAAATATTTAGTGAATTTTATTAATTACACTTTCTAATTATTTTTTTTTTTAATCAAATAAAAAATATTAGAATCAGCATTCATGCCTTTTCTTGTTTAATGCATTTTCTATTTTGAGTTATTTTTCGTGATCCATCTATGAAATCTTTTGCACAAGTTTTGTATTAAAAAAGATCGGCTATAATTGAGCCCAGGTAACTCACTGTGATTGGGTTGACTCGGTGAGTAACTCTAAGCGCGTTCTAAAGGCTTTGAGAGCATTCCAAAATTGGAAATTGTTAGTATCGAACGAGAATGAGAAAAGAAAACGGACCGGAAAGACAAAAACCATAAAAAAGTGAAAGAAAAAAAATAAAAATAAAAAACAAGAAGCCAAGAAACTAGAAACTAGAAAGTATCGAGTAACAACAAAAAGTCGCACAATTTTTCTTGGGTTTTCTCGGAAAGATCTCTCCCTACGTATTTTCTCGGGAAACTACCAAATTTCTCAGACTCTCCGCACCATAGTTTCTTCTTTATACATCTACCTCCCTCTTGTACGAACAAAGTTTCTGTTATTTGTTGTTTTTCTTTGTCCTTGCTTTCTAGAAACTTGTAGAGACTTTAGAGAAAGATGATGATGATGCCGTCGTCTTCTTCTTCTTCATCGTCTTCTTCAGCCACTGTACGAGTGGAGAAGGCGACAAGCGAATTTTTGATCGGGCCAGATTGGACTATGAACATCGATATCTGTGATACCATCAATACCAATCATTGGTACCAACCTAAAAACTCATAGACCTTTTTGTTTTCGTAAAAAGTTGACTTTTTCTCTCTGGGTTTGATTTTAAGTTTCTGTTTTACATGCTAAAATTTGTTATTAACGTATATATGTCTGTGTATGTGTCTGTGCTTTTGTTTGATATGAGATGGGTTGATTTCGGATGGGGTATGTATGAAGGGAGGAAAAGGGGTTGAATTTTCTTTTACCTAATTTACAGTTTTTACTGGGTTTATGATGCAAAAGCTCTAATCCGATGATGTGTTTTCGTTTTTGCTCTCTTAGGAAAACAAAGAAAACATGACAAATTCTTGAAAATTTGTCGTTTGGGTTATAGAATTTTGAAAGTCCTCATCTTGACTGTGCTACGAAGTTGTAAGCCACATGGTTGGTCTCATTTTTTTTTTTTGATGTATTATTTGCTTGTTTGTCAGGAATTCTATTGTCTTTACAAGAATTCAGAATCCAATCCTTGAATTTTTTTCCTTTATTTTTTTTGTAAAGACAATAGATTTCCCGACAAACAAGAAAAATAAACGGTTTCCGCTTGAGAATTTTAGGGTTCAGATACATAACTCCCCTGCAGCGGCCGGCGGGGGAGTTATGTGTGTGCAGGTGTTGATATTTTCTGCAGGCTTTTAATTGATTGTTAATATCCATTTGATTATATTTCTTTTACTATTTGTTTGGATTTTATTTTCTGTAATATGTTTGTAGAATAGGATATAATTTGATAAATTGTTAACGATCATGCGTTTGCTAAATTGCTCAGGCTAGCAAAAGATATTGTCTCAAAGCTCTGAAGAAAAGGTTGCAGCATAAAAACCCTAAAGTCAACTACTTGCCTTGACGGTACTTTTCCTTGGAACCTGTAGCACAATGTTTTTTTTTTTGTTTGGAAGATTTAAACCATGAAATTTACAAATTGGCCGTACCTGGGATTAAAATATTTTGTTATCGTAGAGAATTTTCTGTATCAGTATCTCATGCTTTGAGGTAATGCTAGATTGGAGGTTGTTTTAGAATTTTTCCTAGCTGTCCACTAATTAATTGCCCTGTATGTTAATTAGCTCCTGGAGACCATGGTGTGAAAAACTGTGGTGATTATGTGCATTCTCAAATTGCTGAGAGGACTATTCTGCAAGATTATGATCAAAATTGTTAAGAAAAGGGTGAGTCACCCTTTTTGTATTGATTTGGCATTATGTGCAAACTTTTTTCAAAGTTTTCCTGCTATAGTTGGTGTTATATAGGTTTTCTGTATCTTTTCTGAATACCATGTTTCTTCTTTTAGATGTATGATTTTCAAAGTGGGTAAGTGTTGAATGCATTTTGTTGATGTGTGCATGTCGGCAACGGCAGATGGCTCCTAAAAGTCATGCGAGTTGTATCAACTGGGAATAAAGAGGTCATTCTGAGCTGAATAGTTTTAATATTTGTAAACATTTATTGTGTGGTAGTCTCTCCTAATGTTGGAGGTCAGAACGGGAGTTCAAAGATGGTATCATCCTTTCATGTCAGTTATTTCGATAATTGGTTGGAGGAATGGGATCCACTGTCTAATTTTGAATATGCCTTAATTTTATCAGTTCATATGGCTGATATGTAATTGAGTTGATACGTTGGATTGGGGAAATTGAAATTAAAGAATAACATAAGTATATTAATCCCATGATTGGAACTTATCTGATCAATATTCATTTTGTAACACCTCATTCACCTAAAAGGTTTCCTAGTGGATGCGAACTGCTACATCATAATAAGGTGGAACTGTAATTAAGGATACATACATATCCTGCATGAAAAAGAGTGGTCATTGCTTGGCACCACCTTGAAATAAGCACCTGAAACCTTATTTAACAACGTCACTGTGTGAAGCTCTGCCAACCAAACTGGCAGGAGAAGGTTCTTCTTGGATGGATGATCTTTGTTAAAAATTACTTTTGAATTAGTTCAGTGTGCTTAGATCAGAAAATTCCTACTTCTGTTTGGAATGATGCTGTGTCTGATGGCTTGACTGAAAAAACAGTCTCAAAGGGACAAGTGATGGAGCCTTTGGCCAGCTACATCCTTGGAAGGTGAATAGTAAGTAATGTTAATATATGCAATCTGGAATCATGACGTGAGATTTGTACTTACATGATGTGCATTGTTGAAATAGTTGGATACTGCTACTATCTAGTGCAATGATTTTATCGTCTACCTCAATTTAATCACTCTTTATTTGGGATTATGTTCTTCCTTTTAAAAAAAAAAAATTGTGGATTATGTTGGGGGTCTTTGTCATTGTTATCTATTCAGTGACTCTAGTTGTTAAATGTCTCCTGAAGCAACCATCTTCTTTGCTAGGTCTGTTACATTTAATTTGGGAGTTATCTTAGTTAGTAGTGAAGGTTATTATAACGTTTTGCTCTTGTTGTTTTGTTAGGTTACAAGTTGAATGTCCTAGGTAGCTCTAGCTAAGCACTTCAACTTTACCTTGAATGTCCTAACTAGCTCTTGCTAAGCACTTCTACATTGCTTCTAAACACAAATATTTGATGAATTTTGCAGACAGATATGCATGTAAGGGATAAAATCTTGGCACTGCTAGATTCTTGGCAAGAAGCATTTGGTGGTCCTCTGGTGGAAAGTATCCTCAGTACTACTGGGCTTATGAGGAACTGAGGGTAGGCGTATATTTGATATATTTCAACTCCTTTTGTTTATATCCATATTGCTGTCTTCTGTGGGTGACAATGACAGTTTTCCCTTGATTGGTTATTGATGTGACTTCTATCCATGTCAGAATATAATGACCTGTTATGTTGGTAAAATAACACTTTTGAAGTCTGAGACAGAGGTTACAGTCTGCTGTTGTTATTTGGGTATTTGTGCACAAGATATACTCTAATTAAAATGATAAATGTAATTCAAGTCATAAAAGCTAATTACTTCTAAAATTTGACCAGTAATGGGATTATCCATCTTTATGTGCTATGGTAGGCCTCCAGAATTTGTTTGCAATTTAAGAATGTATTCTAACTCTCCTATATGCTACATTTGCATCTGTCTTTATTAAATTAAGTTTATGTATCTTTATTCAAATACAGGGTGCATGATAATTGGCAAGAAATATTATTTTTCCTTTTTTCTGTTTCTTCTGACAATAATTGTTGGTCACTAAACTCATGCCAGCGTTTTTGAGTAGAGTTTCCCCAGCGTTCATCTGATTCAGCTCCAATATTTACGCCAACCTGTGACCCACCAAAACTCTCCGACATGCTCAACCAGGTTATGGAATGCAAGCAATCTTCAACTCGGCTTGATGAAGCCATGGCAGCTGACATGGAGAGTTTTAAGGTACGATTCCTTTGGTTTCAACACTCTACTGGTTCCTTTTTTCTGTTTGGGTTGCCTCTATAACTTTGATTTATTTTATTTTTTCTCATCCTTCAGTTTCTCAGCATTAATTCCATGCGATATGCTCTGGATCTCTTAGCTGACATGCTGCAAGCTGTGAATCCTAGTGACCGTATGGTATGTTTATTGGGTCTTCTAGTCTATCCTCATGCTAAATTACAGCTAAAAACTATAGCACGTTTCCTTTTTTTGTAGGCTGTGAAAGATGAAGATTATTGTCGATCTTGTTGACCAATGTCGTGCCAACCAGAAGAAGCTGATGCAGATGTTAGCTACAACCATGTATGTATCTTCCTTTATCTCTTTATTGTCGTGTCGCATAA